TTCGCGCGACCGGTAGCCTCCTCTCACCTTTTCGCCCCTCGCCCGAGGAAGCGGCGCGACGCAGGTCTCCTCCACGCCGCCTGCTGGCACGCTGCAGCTCCTGCGGGCACTGCTCACCGTCGCGCACGCGTTGGGGAATGAGAGCGCGAGAGAGAGGGATAGAGAGAGAGGGGAAGAGAGGAATTGAGGAGGAGGAGGAGGAGGAGGAGGAGGAGGAGGAGGAGGAGGCAGGCAGGAGGAGAGGCAGGAGGCAGGAGGCAGGAGGGAGGCAGGAGGCAGGAGGCAGGAGGCAGGAGGAGGAGGAGGAGGAGGAGGGAGAGGAGGAGGAAAAGAGGAGGAGGAGGAGGAGGAGGAAAAGAGGAGGAGGAGGAGGAGGAGGAGGAGGAGGAGGAGGAGGAGGAAGAGGAGGAGGAGGAGGAGGAGGAGGATGAGGAGGAGGAGGAGGAGAGGAGGAGGAGGAGGAGGAGGAGGAGGAGGGATGAGGAGGAGGAGGAGGAGGAGGAGGAGGAGGAGGAGGAGGAGAGGAGGAGGAGGACACACACACACACACACAAACAGTGCGGACGCGGGCCCGGAGCGGCAGCGGCAAGCGGCTGCCCGCTCTCTTGCTCGTGTAGGGGCCGAGCTCGGCCCAACAGGAAGCGGAGAGGAGCCGAAAAACAGAGCTCCCCCCGGCGCCGAGGCGGCAGATCGCTCGCGAGGCGCGGCGAAGCGAGAGAGAGGGAGAGAGAGAGAGGGGGAGAGAGAGAGAGAGGGAGAGAGAGAGAGAGAGAGAGAGAGGCAGAGGGAGAGGGACCTGTGCCACGACGACCACTCCCACGACACCTGCCCCCGCCCCCGCCCCCCTGCGCCCGGCCCGGCTGGGCGGGCGGAGCGGTGGAGCCGTGGCTCCGTCCAGGCTGGCAGGAGGAGCAGTGGCTCCGGCAGTGGTGGCTGTGCGTTGCACTGTCCGCGCAGGGCCCGCGCGCACGCTCGGAGGCACGCGTCGGAGCGGTCCCTGGCCTCGCGGGTGGCCCAGCCATTCATCCCATGCAGGCCCGCCGCCCGACGGGCTGCCCTCGTCCGTCGAGGACCGCGCCGGGCCGACCTGCCGTCGGCGCTCGCGCAGTGGCGCCGGCGCGCGCGCGCTCTTCGCGTGGCCCGCGCGCCGCCGCGGCGCAGCTGCACCGGCAGCTCGTGGGCGCGCTCGGCGGCTCGAGGGGCCTCCCAACTATAGGCACGGCTTCGCCCAGGGCCCCGTGGCCGCTGCGGCAGCCACCGCCCCGGGATCGGCTCCCACGCGCCAGGAGCATGGCCTTCGTGCCGGCAGCGATCGAGCTTGGCTCCGCAGCCGGGCGGGGCTGCGCAGGTCCGAGCCGTCGCTGCTGGCACGGGGCTGGGCGTCCGGGTCGGGGACGCCGACGGCGAGAAGGCGAAAATCTACCCCCCCACCCCCAGACCCGACCCCCTCCCCGAACCCGCGATCCAGGGGGTCGGGACTGGGCGGTGGGGGTGGGCTCTCCGGGGTACAAGGACGGAGAGGGCGCCCCCGCCCCCAGTCCCGAGCCCTTGACTCGCCTGCCCGCGGGGATGGGGGTCGGGACTGGGGGATGGGGGTGGGCTTTCGCCTTCTGAGCTTGGCGGCGTCGGCGTCAGACTCGGCGCCGGTGCCGTCCACCCCCGTGTGGATGCGGCGCATGGCTGGGGCGCGTGGCGAGCGCAGGCGGCAAGCGGCCGACGTGCTGGGCCGCTTGGGGGGGGAAACCAGAAGGGGCGCGCTCTGCCCAGCATCTCGAAGCGAAGCTGGCGGTGGCGGCGAGGGCCTCCCAGGAGGCCGAGCAAGGGGAGGACGGGCGAAGGGCAGCGGCATCGGCACCTCATCCTCCCCCGCCGCTTGGCCCACGCAGCTCGGGGCCCTGCCTGCGCCGTGGGCTCACACGTGCTGCGCCCAGCTTTGTCTCGCGCGGCTGCGGACGGTCGGGGGGCCTCCTGACCCGGGTCAGTCCAAACACAGGTCAGTCGGGATTTGCAGGATCCTGCAGGATCCTCCAGCCTCCTGCAAGATCCTGCGCGCAAGCCCCCCTGGCACTTCGAGTGCGAATTAATGGGGGGCGATTGAAAAGGGGGGGGGGAAGAAGGGTGCCCTGTTCGGGCCCTAAAGGCCTCCTCGTGGGCCCTCAGTCCCTTCAGGGCCCCCCCTAAAGGGCCCCTGTTTGGCAGCCCTCGCTGCCCCCCCCATCTATCCCCCCCCCTTTACGCGCCCTCCAAGAGTCAGTGTACCCCCAGCACTGCAGGATCCTGCAAAAGATCTGGCGCTCAGCGGACCACCGTTTTTGCATCGACCCCCATAGCGTCCCGAGGAGGAGGAGGAGGAGGAGGAGGAGGAGGAGGAGGAGGAGGAGGAGGAGCTAGATCCTTGAACACACGTGCGTTCGTTGAGCACGTCGCTCCCGACTGCGATCCCAATTCCAAGCTTGTAGCTTTGAGCTCCGACGATGGCCGTGGCGCCTGGGCCTCGCCTGCTAGAAAGATATGGCCAAGGAGGTGGAAGTGCAGGAGGAGGATGCCGAGTCCTCTTCGCCCCCTGCGCCACGACGAGCGGCTGGTGGATTCGGGGAGCCAGAAGAAGGGATAGGAGAACGGGGAGCAGAAGGGGGGCGAGGGAAGGTGGAAGGGTGGAGGAAAAGGAGGGAGGGGGAGGAGGAGCAGGAGGAGCTGGCTCCTTCGCCCTCTTCGCCCCTCTCGTCCTCCTGCTCCGCCGTCTCCTCATCCCCCTCCTTCTCCTTCTCCTTCTCCTTCTCCTCCTCCTCCTCCTCCTCCTCCTCCTCCTCCTCCTCCTCCTCCTCCTCCTCCTCCTCCTCCTCGCGCACACGAGCATTTTCGCAAGAGCCAGGTTCAGGTGTGTAGAACAAATCGACGTGGCAGGATTCGCCGTGTCGCGTCGGCGAGGGCTCCGAGACACCCTTCACATTTAGAAGGGCCGTCAGGGGCGGGACGCATCCGCCACGGGCAGAAGCGGCAAACTCGGATGCGGCACTGGGCCGACGAGCCGCCGCGCGCGCACCGCACTGCCCCGCGCAGTGCTCGCCGGGAATTCGGTGGACATGGTCGAGAAGGAAAGCGGAAGAGGGGGGAAGTGAAGGGAAAGGAGAGGAGCAGGGACAGAAGAAGAAGAAGAAGAAGCGCACGGCAGAGCGGAGAGGACCAATCAGGACAGCAAAACGACACCAAGGCATGCAAGACAACGTTCAATATGGATGGCCGCTGGGCCGCTGCTACATGGAAATATGGAAATACGAATGGCATCAACGTCTGCCTACGTAAGTGTCACCGATCCGATCAATGAGATCAGCCCTACTGCCGCGCATACTCAGATGGAGGCGCCCCGCCTGGAGCCGACGATCATGGTGTGTGAGGGCGTTCGTGCAAGCTCGAATGTGGGCTTTCTTCCTGTCTAATTGCTATCGCCCATCTTATCTGAGTAGCCGTTCTCCTCGAGCCATGCCTGAATGCGCCTCTCCAGATCCCCCGGAGGAGCCTGCTCGACTAGCATATCGCACTCTGTATGGCTGAACATCCACTCCCGCAGGCCGCCCGCGTAGAGAAGATGACTGTCCGTTCCGGGCGTCGCGCTCAACTCGGCATGAATGCGCCTGCGAGCGTGTAACCTTCTTGAGCCTCGCAAACTTGACTTCCTCTGCGATCGCCTTTCATCCGAGGGTTTGGCCCCCCTCCTCCTCCTCCTCCTCCTCCGTCCTCCTCCTCCTCCTCCTCCTCCTCCTCCCTCCTCCTCCTCCTCCTCCTCCCCTCCTCCTCCTCTCCTCCTCCTCCTCCTCTTCCTCCTCCTCTCCTCCTCTCCTCCTCCCTCCCTCCTCCTCCTCCTCCTCCTCCTCCTCCTCCCTCCTCCTCTCCTCCTCCTCCTCCTCCTCCTCCTCCTCTCCTCCTCCTCCTCCTCCTCCTCCTCCTCCTCCTCCTCCTCCTCCTCCTCCTCCGCCCCAACCCCCGCGGAGCCCCTCCGCCCTGACCCCCGCGAGTGCCTGGCGGCGCTGCCGGACGCCCGCAGGGCAGCCCGGAGGGCACCGCTGCCGGCGCAGGCGGAGACCTGGCCACGCCGCCCACGAAAAGTGCCACTGCTGCCGCCGGCGCCGCCGCCGTCGTCTGGCGAGGGCGGCGCAGATGAGGGCGGCGAAGACGAGGGCGGCGAAGACGAGGGCGGCCAGGAGGAGGAGGGGGAGGAGGAGGAGGAGGAGGAGGAGGAGGAGGAGGAGGAGGAGGAGGAGGAGGAGGAGGAGGCGGGGGAGCACGAAGTGGAGGGGAAGGGGGCGGCGAAGAGGACGAGGAGGACGATGAGTGGAGAGGAGGCGCTGCCGGCGCTGGCGCGGCACCGGCCAAGTCACCAGGTGGGCGGGCCGAAAATCCGGACTGAGAGGGGGAGGGGCCGCCGAGGGGACGGGGCGGTTTCAGACTCTTTCTCCTCTAGAGTTGCTCGACAAGGACCATCGCGCGATTCTAGCGCGCCAAGTACTAACTGTCGAGGAGTCTAGCGCCAAGCGGGATAGATTGGCCGTGCCCGAGTGAACAGGAACTGTGAGTTTGGAAGCCCACGCGTTCGTCGCCGAAGGCGTACATGGGTGCTTGGGTTAGGTCGACGGGTGCGTGTAAGCATTCATTTCCCCCTCCTCCGCTGTTGTCCTCCCCGCCCCCAAGAGAGCCCCGAAACGGCTCTGGAGGGACGTCTTGGAGCTCTCCAGGAGGCGGAAGGATCTTGGAGAAGCCATGGGGGCCTCTGGGGATGTCCCGGGGAAATATGGGGGCCGCATGGCGGCGTCGCGGGAAGTGCTGGGGGCCTGCTCGGGCCCTTCTTCGGGGCATGTTGGGGGTCGCGGGAGCCGTCTTGAGGGGGAGGGCTCCAAGAGCCCGCCCCTCTTGGGGCATTTTGGCCGCTGGCCCGACCGCGAAGAGGGTGCCACTTGGACATCATGCCCCTCGACCCCGCCCGCGCCCACAGAGCCCTCCCAATCTTGTTGCCTGCGCTGTGCTCCGAGCGTCGCTGAAGGAGGAAGACCGCCCACAACACAGGGATCCGATGTGGTGATTTGTTCCATGCGCGGCCCCCGGAAGTCTCGACCCAGGCCCCAGGACCGCTTTCTCATCCCCAGCCGTTTTCTGACGCTCCCGAGGCCCGGCGAGGGCCCCGTGGGGCCGGAACTCGCGAAAAACCTCCGCCTCGCTGCTCTCCATACGACGCTGGATCTCTGGGCAGCAGCCCGTGGCCCCCGAGGCAGGAAGGCCCTCGGCCGGCGCGCCTGGCCTCCGCCCTCCCCCGCCCGCCCCCCCGGCGACCGAGCGGGCCTCGCCGCGAGGCCCGGCGCCTCTCGCGCCCCGCGGCCGTGCCCCCGCGCTCCCCCCCATGCCCACGGCGTGCCTGCCTGCTGCCTCCCCAGACATCGGGCGTCTCGAAAAAATCGAGACAGAGGTTTTTCATAGTTTTTGGCCTCTCGGGGCCCTCGCCGGGCCTCGGGACCGTCAGAAAACGACTTGGGATGAGAAACCGGTCCTGGGGAAGTGGTCGGGAGGTCGGGGGCCCGCGTCTCGAAAAAATCGAGACGTCAGATGTCTGGGTCTGTCGGACGCCCCCGGTCACCACGGTGACCGGCCCAGAGCCAGGAAGCGTGAGGGGGGTGGACGGCTCTACGCGCGTCCGCTCATCCTGCTTCGATCGACTGCCGAATCGATCGGCGTGCCTGCCTGCTTGCCTGCCGCCCCCCCCCCCGACCCGGGATCCGCCGTGCTCTTGGACGGCTTCGCTGGTAGGGCCGAAGCTCGCGCCCTGCTTTTTCCCATGCTCCTCCGATGCAGACTTTTCCGCCCTGCCTTGCCGTCGCTGCTTCCCCCCATCCCTTTGCGGAAATTTCCGCCCTACTTTGCCGTCGCTGCTTCCCCCCATCCCGTTGCGGAAATTTCCACCCCCCAGCTCTTCAGAGGAGGGGGGTATCTCCCCCCATCTTTGTCGCATCGCTCGGGGTGCATTTCCGACGCAACGTCAAGCATTCAAATCAGCTGAAGTACGGCGGATCCGGAGTCAGGGTCCTCCTCCTCCTCCTCCTCCTCCTCCTCCTCCTCGTCCTCCTCCTCCTCCTCCTCCTCCTCCTCCTCCTCCTCAGACCCGCCCTCCGTCAGATAAACTGCTCGAGACGTGCGATGAGGGGACGTTACTCTGCAGCAAGACGGACGGAGGGAGGAGGGCGGAAAAGGTGGACGGGAAGGGGGAGGTGAAGGAGGAAGAGAAGGAGGATGGGGAGGAGGCAGAGAAAGAACACGAGGGGAATAGGGAGAAAGGGAGAGGAGGAGGAGGAGGAGGAGGAGGAGGAGGAGGAGGAAAAGGAGAAGGAGGAGGAGGACGAGAAGGAGGGGGAGGAGGATGAAAGGAGGAAGACGCACAGCGTTCCGTGCTGAAGAGGAGGAAGAGGACGAGGAGGACGAGGATGAGGAAGAGGAGGGGAAGGAGGAGGACGAAGAGGAGGAGGAGGAGGAGGAGGAGGAGGGAGGAGGAGGAGGAGGAGGATGGAGGAGGAGGAGGAGAAGGAGGAGGAGGAGAAGGAGGAGGAGGAGGAGGAGGAAGGCTGAGGACAGTCGACAGAGCAATGGCGGCAGGCGTCGGAGCAGGCCAGGCCTCCTCGGGGCCCATGTCCAGCGGAAAGCCGATGTCCTTCGCGGCGAGCAGCAGGGTCCTCAGAGGGCTGCACTGTCTGCACCCCTCGCCTCTCTGCTGTCCCCTCCCCCTCCTGGGCGCGAGTCGAAGGGAGAGGAGGGAAGCACTCTCTCGGCCCGTCCTCCTCCTCCTCCTCCTCCTCCTCCTCCTCCTGCTCGCCTTCTAGCAAAACCTACGTTCCGCAGAACGTGGCAACCTAGAATGCTGTTCGAGGGCGAACACCCGTGAAAACAATCAATTGTCCTCCTCCTGGGTCATACAGCCAATTCCCAACGCGTGTGCTGGCACATGAAACATGGATCCAACGGGACTAGAGCCGTGATGCGCCATTTGGTGGTCAACCGTCATGGTAGGCAAATGGCCAAATACCATCACTGCCGCAGCTGATTTTCGTAACTACTAGCACCGTTTCAGAGGTGATGGCGATCACACGACACTTTTCGTCTTTGTTTTTTGAATATCGTGCCAGCGGCACTGCGAACTGTAATGCCTTGCAGGTGCTTGAAGCTCACCCGCCGAAATGCCCAAGGGTCTGCCTGCGTTTGCAAGCCGTTCGAGCCGTTTGCTCGCCCTACGCCGGGACAGCCCCGGCCCCCGACGAATACAACAGCGGCCGGACCGGAATGTTCGCCCCCCCGGCCGCCCGTGGCGCCAAACATGAGAAGTGTGATTCCGGTCGGTTCCATCGCATCCTCAGCCGCATTTCTGCCGAGTTTCCGTTCCCTCTTCTTGTTCCCACTGTTGTTGTTTTCGCCCGTTCTACCATCGCCTATCTTGGCCCAAACGCTTCCCTGGATCCTTACATAGCTGAGCTGCGCTATCTTTTTCAGCGAGTATGCGATAAAACATCAGATCCGCGGTCTTCCATACCACAGCTGCACCTCCACCTTTCTTGGGCAAGCCGCTGGGCGCAGACACGCCACTGGCGTCGGTGGCCGCCTGGAATAAGCAGGCGGGGCAACGCAGCCTCAAGCACGCTGCACTTGAGCCACGGGCACCCTGCGCGTTCGAGCGGGAAACAACGGAATGGTGGATGAGCCCCGCCAATAAGGCTCCTCCTCCTCCTCCTCCTCCTCCTCCTCCTCCTCTTCCTCCTCCCCTCCTCCTCCTCCTCCTCCTCCTCCTCCTCCTCCTCCTCCTCCTCCTCCTCCTCCTCCTCCTCCTCCTCCTCCTCATCCTCCTCCTCCTCCTCCCCCCCCCCGTCCCATCTGGGGGGGGGGCCGAGGACCCTGGGACCCATCCCATCTGGAGTGGGGGGGGGCCGTGGGCCCTGAGCCCGCGATCATATATCCCTGCTCTGGCGCAGCGCCGTCGGGCGCCCCGATCCGCGACCGCGCGCCCGCGGCCCCCCAGCGGGGCGGGCGGCCGGCCCAGGCGCGAGCGCGGGGGCCACCCGGACGCCACCGGGGGACACCCTTTCGAGAAAGGGAGTGGGCCCTGACTCGATCTCTGGGACCGACGCGCCTCGATATGATGAGTCCTCGCGCCTCGACCCTTCCGCAAGCGGCGGCCGACCCGCGCGGGGTCCGCACCCGGCGCTGCCAGCCGACCGCCGACTGCGCCCGCGGCGCCCGGGAGCACAGGGGGGGGCCATGACTCCAAATCCGCCCTACCTTGGCTTGTTTTCCAGCTTAGCATTGCGTCGGGAATCCACCTATAAGAAGCCGAAAGAGTAGGGCGGAAGCTTCTGCACCGAACAGAAAGATAGGGCGGAAATCCACAGAAGTAGGGCGGAAACAGCCACAGAAAAGTAGGGCGGAAATTGGCATCAGCGGGGCTTGAAAAGTAAGGCGGAAATTCCAAGCCCTACTTACGAATTTCCCCAAAGTAGGGCGGATCCGGAGTCAGGAGAAGGCCAAGAGGAGGCCACCAAATCTTCCTGCATCCCGAGGCAGATCGTCAAGGCAAGGGAAGATGAATGGGTTGAGCGGCTGGGCCAGCAGCCATGGGATGTCGTCGCAGTTGGGGATGGCGTAGAGCCTTGCCTGCATCGACGTACGTGGCGCACCTTCTCGGTAGAGCTGTAGACGAGGTAGCGCAGCAGCCACTGGGCCCCAGGGCTGATAACAATGCAAGTGTACCCAGAGCGGCCCAGCTTACATAAGGTTGGGCCGTCTCATCGTCATCATCATCATCATCATCATCATCATCATCATCATCATCATCATCAGCATGAGGTGCCACACGAATGACATGTGGTAGTTCCTGTAGAGCAGCAAGCAGGACTCCCATACGGCGGTGCGCCATGGCGATGCGCTGTTCGTACTCGTCGTGCGAGATGCGGCCCGCCTCGTAGACGGCCTCTATGGTGCGGACCCGCAGCTGATCTACTCTGTTCCATTTTTCCTAGTAGTTGGCTGCGATATTGCATGGATATTGAGTTCGGGGATCTTCTGGTGGCCGTCGTAGCTCAGCTGGTTGCCCTCGTAGCTCAGGTGGCCCTCGGAACTCTGTTGGTAGCCCTCGCAGCTCCGCCAGTGGCCCTCGTAGTGCAGCTGGTGGCCGAGGCAACCCAGGTGCAGCCCTCGCAATTAAGCTGGTGGTTCTCGTGGGTCAGCAGTTGGCCCGGATAGCTCTGGTAGCGCTGGTAGTTCAGCTGGCTGTCCTTGAAGCTCTGCTGGTGGCTCTCGAGGCTCTTCTGGCAGACCTTGAGAGCAGGGGGTAGTTCCTGTAGCTCTGCGCGCCCAGGTGTCTCAGCTGGTGGTTCTAGCAGCTTCCCGCTCGGTGCCCGTGTCGCTCAGACCGTGATCCTCGCAGTTTTGCTGGTGGCCCCGCTGGCACAGCCATCTTAAGCTACGGAGGGGTAGATCGGCAGGCCTGGTCTGCTGGTGTTCCTCGTATCTGCGCGGTAATTTCCACGTCGTCATTGCCAGGGCCGTGTGGTGGTAGTAGCGTCGTCCCTGCTGGTCTAGGTAGTTGTTCAAACCAGGTGGCAGGGAGGCTGGTACCGGTGGCTCTCGCAATTTGGCTGGCAGCCCTCGTAATTTAGCTGGCGGTCCTCGCAGCCTTGCCTGTGGTCCTCGAGGCCCTGCTTGTGGCCCTGGTACCCCGGCGAGTGCTTCCAGTAGCTCAGCAGGTGGTCTTCGTAGCTCTGATGGTGTCTGTCCTCGTCGCCCTGGTAGCCCTACGGGAGGCTCTCGTAGTTCTGCTCGTGGTCCGCGTAGCTCCCATTATGGCCCTCGTAGGTCCGGCTGAAGCTCTCGTAGCTCAGCTGGTGGGCGTCGGAGTTCTACTACTGGTCCTTGCAATTAAGCTCGTCGACCCAATCGCTCCGCAGGAGGCTCTGGTGGGTTTTCCGCGTAACTCTGG